TATACCCTTTCAAAACCTTAAGAAAGCTATAAGCAATATCATTTTAAACTCCTGAGGGATTGAAAATGCCATTTGAACATATATTGAAAGCTATGGAGTCTGTCCACTCTATGTCTGAGGAGGGTGAACGCACGCACGCGTGCGCACACACACACACACACATGTATAAAGAAAATGATATACACAACTTCATGGGTTTTGAGGATCCTATTTTACTTCATTTGGCTACCAAAATAAAAAAAAATTATAATTTGGTGACTTTTAAACAACAGAATTTATTGCTTCCAGTTAAAGAGGCTGGAAAGTCAAAGATCAAGGCTCTTGGCATAAATTGATTTCAAGTAAGAGCCTGCTTCCTGGTTCCTTGTAGCACCATCTTGCTATATCTTCACATGGTAGAAGGGTCAAGACAGTTCTCTGAGGATTATTTTCTAAGGGCATTAGTCCTGTTTATAAAGACCATGCCCTCATGACCTAATCACCTCCAAATGGCCCTACTATCTAACACTATTTGCATTTGTGATTAGGTTTCAAATCTGAATTTTGGGGGTACAACAACATTCAGACCATAGCAGGCACCTGGTTGCTTATTTACCCCAGGTTAAACATCTCTATTGTGGAGGACAAAAAAAAAAGAAAAAGAAAAAGAAAAAGAAAACATTGACCAGCCTGGAACTGCCAAAATAATGCATAAAATGTAGGTGAGCAAGATCCATGATCCCTGAGGCACAAATTTCTGTTCAGGCAAAAGGCGGGACAGAAATACATTTATTTTTGAATCACAACTAAGAAGTTAAATAGCAATCTGCCTTTCCCTTGATATAGGTCTTCAAAGTATAGCATCATTGTTAAAAATATGATCTTAAATAGAGATTAAGTTTACATTGGAATTAGGATTTGTAAGGCCAGTCATAGAGAGGCTAGTTAGATCTTTTGAAGTCCATGAATGATTGAAAAATTATGAATATCTATTTGAAATAATTCATTGAACATTCATTGCACAGTGTGCCAATGGAGGATTATGGAGGCTCAGTTAATTGTCTCAGCTAGCTAGTGTCAAAGCCAGTCATTCTGTCCTAACTACTAGGTTGAGACTTTTTCATTGTATTATGTGGCTTTCTTAAAAGCATGTCATGTTAAGATAAAGTTTAGCTCACTGAATACCTAGAGCTACGAACTGGCAAGAAAAGAGTATAACCATTCAGTGTTTTCAAAAAGATAAATAAGAAATTTAAATTTGTAGCAATATTTCAAGACATGCCATACTTTCCTTATGATCATTAAACTTGATCTAACGTATTCTGACATATTTTTTCCATTTGGCCTTGACTTCAGTTTGCTTTTTCTCAATTCATTTAGAGTAATTTTGCCCAATCTTGTGTCCACAGAACATTTTTCTCTTGAAATGCCTAGTGCACAAAGTATTTTGTGGTCAAATAAGTCTGGGAAATGTTCCATGTATATTCTCCTTTTGGCATGTTAAAAAAACTATGTAAAAAATATTAAAGGCTCTGGGAAGACCTATAGTAAAACATAACAGCAACAAATCTTATTTGACTTACTCTGTGTTTCCCAAAGTCACTATTCCTCAGGACACTTTTTAATATTAACACCTATTAAAATCCCACTCAGTGAACTTCAGTAGCCCTTGCTATAGATGACTCTGCTTTAGTTCTGCAAGTCTCCAGTCTAAGCTCCCATTTCCAATAGTTGTTGGAAATAGAGCAACTATGTTATGAAGGATTGTTGCTTTGGCATACCCCGCTCTCTGATTCAATTATGAAAACCATTCTAGATAAAAAAGTAGCTTTTTTTCTCCATTACAGTGGCTTAATGTGTTGTCAACTTAATTCCATTTACAAACTTTATCATTTCCACTTCAGAAAAGTATTGCAAACAAATGATCATATAGGGGAATAATTTTTAACTTACTAATGATACTTGGAAATTGGAAACAATATAACCTTTACTAATAGGGACTGAATAAGAAAATTGTGTGAAAAAATGTTACACAGCTATCAAAATAATATTTTTTAAAGTCCATTTAATGGTGTGGAAAAGCACATGTATTATTTTTAGTGACATGTAAGATGTGACATTATATTGAAAGTATCATTCTAAATTTATAATATACATATGATTTTCACACCAACACACATACACACATGCATTCATGTATATCAAAACTTGAAGAAAATACCTTAAAATTTTGAAGTATTTTGTATCTTGAAAATATCAAATTTTTAATATTTAAAATATTTTATAGATCCTTCATTTTATAAGCATGATGATTGGATGTTCACACTATTGAGTGAGATGTGCCTACCTTTAAACCTTGTTACAACATCAGCACATTACCCATCTGATGTGAAAAAGAAAAAAAAATTTATAATAGTTATATTTTCCATATGTGAAAAAATCTATTAAATAAGTGGTTTTCCATCTTTGACTTAAACTAGAAAAAGATGCCCACTTACATATGGGTTCACTAGCCTTCATACCTATTTTATCCAGAGATTATCAGGTAATTTTGCTTCCTTTGCCTCCAAATTACTGTTCGTTCTTATTTCCTCAGATTTAAGAAGGTATAATTTTCTTTTATTATTTTTTGGGGTACAATCTAAGCTTTTAAACTACAATGTTTTACAAACTGATCCTGCAAAGACAAATTTGCACTTAGAGATAAAAAGATTTGTATTAGTTTCCAACAGGATATGATTTTTGCAGTCATACACAATAACATATATGCAAATCTGTAGTGTTGTTTCTCCACATAAAAAGCAATCCTTACTAAAATAAAAGGATAAAATGGATCTTAAATTCAAATACTCATGACTCTTTTGCTTCATAAAAGGAAAGGCTCTTTTTTTCTTCCTCATTCAGGGACATATTTATAGGACCTAGGAAAGTATCTGGCAAATACTAGGTATCTCAATGAGTGAATGAAAGGATGAAATAAAAACGAGGGCAAATGTTTCCATGAGGGCTTGTACCTTATTTGGCATTTATTTTGCTAACAAGCCAGACTTAATGTTTTCAGATGTATTTCTGAGCCACTTTAATGAACATATTTTTATCATGTCAGAGATTGAATTAATGAGCACCTTAATGTGGCCTATATTACATGATACAACTACTGTTCCAAGATCAGAATTTTAAATAGTCAGTGACTACTGGTATGTCCACTTTCACCTGAAGGGAGAAAGGTAAAGTCTCCAGATTCGTATCCTATCCCTTGGTTCTTCTAATTGTCTTTGCTGGGACAGATTTTCCACAATTTTGTTCCATACCATGTCGCATTCAGTTTCTTATCATTCTTATTTGTGCACTAATAGTTATATGCATTGTTTCACAATTAAGTTCATTATATTATCAATCAGAGTCTACTTGGGAAAGCAGAAATGCTTTAAGATTTTTCAACAGAGCAAATTTAAATCAGGGAAGTTATTACACAAGCAATGGAGTTGGTGAGAACTGAAGAGGGGATTGTAATTTAATCAAATATAAAACAGTAAGAAACCAATACTGTGGGCTGAAAAGACGAAAAATGTAGACAGTGTTACTTCCCAGGGGAAGGGGTCATCTGATGGAACCTGGAACTAAAACAAACTTGCCAAGCAATGAAAGAAGGCTTTGAGCTGTAGCAGAAGAGAAGAACCAAATTTTGAGGAGCTGCCTGGGATACAGAGGAAGGAGGAAGAATATCTTGGCTTCTTTCCCATCCTGTTCAATCTCTTTATCTTCTTTTGCCAAAATTCAGTCAGAAGTCAGCTAATCTGGAATTGTTTTTGAGAACTTCACCCAATGATATGATAGAGACAATTGGAAACTAGAAAAATATTTTAAATGGAAATCATTTAATGCAGTACTTTCTTCTCATATCATTATGAAGTTTTAGGCATTTAATTGAAAGTTGCCATAAAAATGACTTAAAATGTTCACTTTTCCAAGTCTATAAACCACAGATAGCTCATCTTTCTGCTAGCATAGATTACCATCATAGTAGGTTCTTAATCTGAAAAACATAATGAAAAGAAAACAAATTATGTTATAAAAGCTATTTGAAGCTTTCATTGCTATTGCTCTAAAAGATTCCTTAAGATTCACAAAATCAAGAAAATTCAAGAGTAACTTAAATGCTTGAATTCTTATCTCTGCTACTGGGAATCATGTCACTGGATACTCCAGAAAATGAATATACCCTGAAGTGGATGAAGTGTGTGATTGAATCCCTGAGTTGGGTGAGTATGATATAATAATGCTTGACAAGTTCTTGAAGAGTTTAAATAGCAAGCAAGGGAGAAAATGGTTTCCTGTAACACAAGGACTTAGCACCAAAGTACCAAAGTATCAAAGTAGAAACATTTGAATGACTTTCTAGAAATATTTCCTAATGGAGTCATAAGTTAGGACAGTGGAATTAGTTTTCAAGTTTAGGGGAGAGTTGTTTGAAAGGAATAAAAGAAAGGGTATCGAGAATAAACCACAGGGAATATACCTCAGGAGTCAGCCATTGTTAGCTCTTTTCTTTAGTTCCAGCTTTAGAAATAACAATGTTACATTTGCATAGTGTTTTTCAATGAGGCTTATGTACACATGTTATCTTATTCAATCCTCAGTTAAGAAACCAGGTTCAGAGAGGTTATAAATGGCTTGATCAAAGTGGCAGAACTGCAAAGTGTTAGAGCTGAGTTTCCAGCTGCAAATGTGCCTGCCAGGAGGTCTAATCTTCATTCAAGGCTACCATGTCACTTTGATGATTTCTGATTTCAGGTATCATGCAGGTATACATTTCTAGCAGAACTAAATCAGGGTGGAAATGTAGCTGCAAATGTAATTTGGTTTTTATAGTCTTGGGAAGATACGTAAGAAGTAGATTGAAGTGTGTGTTTTCAGTTGACCCAAACCCCTTTGCAACATCTTGGGAAGCATTTATTAAGATACAAATAGAAACAACTTGGATATAAACTGCTTCTTGTAAACCCACCATTACAAGTTTATTGGTAATGGTTGTTGGGGCACTCTGTTGTCAAGAATTCTAAGGCTGCCTCTGGACCCAGTGAGAAAAAAGCCCTTGTATCTGCCATGGTTATGGGAGTGTGTCAGGGAAGTTGCACCTATCATCTCTGGAGGTAAGACTACGTTGTAGACATAGGTAAATAAACACTAAGTGTTTGTTGTTGTTGTTGTTTAGTGAGTGAATAAACTACTTGTGAATTAATTCTTTAAAGACAGAGTGATTCTGAATTTCTCCATCCTCTAATTCTATTTATTCCATTTAATTTTATCTGTTGCTACAGCACATTAAAGAAAACAGATACAATAAAGAGGGATCAAAGAACATGACATTTAAAGGAAGGAGGAGAAAAAAATGTTGAAAGGAGGGTCAAGATTTTCTTCACCACCTTTGGAGTCCCTCCAATATTAGTTAAGATAATACACTACCTGCTATAATGAGAAAATAAATACATAAAATAAACCCCAAATATCTGTGGCTTAACACAACATAAATTTGTTATATTTCACATAATATTTAGATGTAGGTATTTCTTGGCAGTGGGGTAAGAAAGCTCAGGCTGATAAAGGACTGAATTGCAAACATGGACTACAATGTTTCCTTGGGCAACAACATACAGAAAGCTTATGGGAGAAGGAAGTGAGAAACAGAATACCTGCTTTTTTTTTCTTTCCAGGCCAAGCTGATGCTTTTTATTAGGAACCCATTCCTGATAATATGATAATAACATGAACCTGTGCATGAGGGCAGAGTCCCAATGACCATATACCTGCTTAAAGATCCTGCCTCTCAACAGCTGCAGTGGTGAACAGTTTCAACATGAGTGTTGGAGTGGACATTCAGATGACAGCAATGAATTGACATCCATGGTTCTTTATTATCTGGTCCTTGAAATTCTTTTCAGTATTGCATTCAAATATTATGGTTCACTCCATCTTGTACATTCTTTGGGTTCTTTGATCAATGTACAACGACTCATGTCCACTTTATAGTATTGTAGAGCACAGTGTCACTACCCTAAAATCCTCTTCCCCGTCACCCTCCCTTCCTTCAGCCTTAAGCCACTAAAGACTCATACAGCATACAGTTTTCCCCACTGGCTTCTCTCAATATTAATGCAAGTTTCCTCCATCTTTTTATGGTTTGATGGTACATTTCTTTTTTATCACTGAATAATGCATTGTTTGATGTACCATGATTTGTTTGTCAATTCACATCCTGGTGAATTCCAAGTATTAGAGATTATAAAGCTGATAAAGACATCTGCTTACAGATTTTTGTGTGGACATAAGAGTTTTTTTTTTTTTTGAACTCCTTTGGGTAAATACAAAGGTGCACAATTGCCAGAGTCTGTGATAAGACTATGTTTAGCTTATAAGAAACCACCAAACTGCCTTCCAAAGTGGCTGTACCATTTTGTATTTCTATTGGCATGAATGTGAATTCCTGTTGTTCCACATCCTCACCAGCATTTGACGTCGTTGACATTTTTAACCACCTCAAGAAGCTTCTGTTCACATTTGTGTGTGAGAACTAGTTTTTTGATCTCTATTGGTTCTAAAGATGAGACTGGGAATTGTAGTTTGGGTCTAGACATTTCTTCCCAGCAAACTGCTATATACTACTTCAGCTACAAGTCTGGCCCACAGAGCAACAACATCAGCATCACCTGGAATGTTTATTTCTTGGGCCCTACCCCAGATTATTGAATTAGGATGACTAGGGGTAGGACCTGAAACATATTTTTAAGAAGCCCTCCACATGATTCCTATGTGTGCTCAAATTTGAAAAGCACTAATTACACCATGAAATGGGAGCACAAATTTCTAGTGGACAACTTGCAATCCCTTCCCCACAGCCTGTGATGATTGCACTTCAGCACACAAGTATTTGAAGCCATTCCCAGAAAGAGAATTACTTCCTATCCCCTCCCAAGTTAGGCTTCATTGTGTGAATTACTTTGGCCAATAAAATGTCATATGAAATTACAATAATCACTTTCAGGTGGAGTAGCATTTGCTTTGCTACTTCCTTTTTCCTTCTGACACTAAGAATTTCAAGGACCACATAATAGCTACTCTGTCACCTAGATCCTGGAGTGAGGACAGGCAATAGAGAGCAGAGCTCATCTGATTTGCAATGGACATACAGCACGAGAAAAAATAAATCTTTGTTATTTTAAGCTTTATAAATTTGGGGCTTGTTTGATCACTGTAACATTGTCCTGACTGACATACCTCATTCCATTACTCTATAACATAGGAAGTCACAGTCTGTACATAGCTTTGGAAAGCTTTTATTGGAGGGGTTATTTTCTCCTTGGCAATATGCTAACATTCTGGTATGCTGCTCCCAAGTGAGCATTGGTTCCTAATTTTTGAACACTTCGATTTTGATTTATTTTCTGGACTTTTACATTCTTAATTCAAATATTGATTGTGTCTAGGAACCCTCATTGTATAGAAGAATGCTTATCTCAAGTTTGCCCTGATTTTGATGACTCTGATTTTTCCATTGTTAATATTTGTGAAAATTATCATGCAAAATAAAATACCACTTATTGCAGTTTTACTTCCTCTTCTAAGCATTGATCTATTGTCTTTCTCTTCTAAGTTCAAGAGTTCAATAACATTGAGTGGCAATAATTTGATTTCTTGATAATCTGACTTAAAGGATTTAAAGACAAATCAAACCACACAAAAATTCAAACTGGTAGATTAGGAAGTTATCTTCTTCAGTGGTCTGCTGAAATCTGATTTAAATCTGGTCAGCATACACAGTAACATATATTCTATACAATTGGCAAGAAGTATACATAACTCTGGAGCCATACATTTGGGGCTGGGTAGAAGTGTGTTATATTCTTTTGGAGAGGATGGGAAATTTCTCTTCCTAATTTTGTTAAGTTTAAACTAGTATTAGCATAATGACTTTGTGTTTCCTGAGCATGGCTCCCTGGCCAGTGAGGGGCAGGTGGCTTGGGATTAAAATTGGAACATAACCAATGTACAGTAAAATGTCAACTATCTATCTGGAACATTAAGGAAATGAGTTGTTCTGGTTACAAAGTTCATATGTATAAAAATAGGTTCATTTAAACTATTTTTGGTGAATATCTTTGAAAATACATATATGCTTCCCTGCTTTATTAAATAGAACATTCTAATTTGATCTTGTCCTGATGACTCAATCATAAATTATTCTAACTGGTTTAATAGAGCCTGTGAGTAAGGGCTCTGTGTTTGAACTTGTAAGAGATCCAGTTTGGAGTTTGGTACCAACTTTTTAGAGTTTTTTTTTTTTTCCCCTGTCCTCTTCATCAATTCTCAGGCTGCCAGCTGTCACTTTTTGATGCTACCAGTGTGTGTCTCTCTGATGATCTGCTGCCTCTGGGATTCTTGAACTAGGAAGCCAGATAATCATGCTTGTTAAAGTTGTGCCTAAAATACAAGTAAATTGACTCTACATGTGCGCTCCAGGAATTCTCCTGTGAGAAAGTGCATGAGCTTTACATCACCTTTGCCTGATCAGTGGCCCATTTTGCTTTTTTTCTTTCTGCCTCAGGAAAGTGAAATTTGCGAGATTACTGAGTTTCAAGCAGGTGAAGTGCTTCTTTTCATTGGGTCTATTTTGAACATGAACGATAGAATATTGACTAGAGGTAGGATATAATAGCTAGATGGGACTAATGAGAAAACTTGCTGTAACATTTTACATTTTTAGAGTCCTTTATATTGCTCAGAATGTTCTGCATAGTGGTATCAGCATCTGTCATTTTGGTATAATGTTAATATTACATCATTTTTGTAGATGTAATGACTGTAAGAATGTCTTAAACTAGCCTTGACAACAAGACTGGTTTCATGAAATTGTCTTAACTTGATGCTATAGAGATGTCAAAATGTCTAAGCTGTTGTTTGTTTCCTTCTTTCTAAACATTTGTTCTCTTTTTCTAGGTTCAATGGTCTTGTGCAAAATATCTAAAATCATCACCACTT